TTAAAAGTCAGCAGGTGACTTTCTTGTGGGTCATGAGAAGGCAGCGAGAGCCTTGGGTACTCCCTCCCTTTCCAGCCTGCTCCCAGTGTCCTGCCGTGTGACGTCGTCCTGTTCACATACTCCTCTGGGCCAGCTGGAGACAGCCCAGGGCACTCGTCCTACCTGGGGAACCTGACTTTTAGATGAGCTGTCCCTAAGGGAGGCTTCCAGCCAGCATAGACCAAGACACAGCGGGGTGGAGGGCAAAGGCCGAGATCACTGGTCGGTGGTGAGAGCTATCTGGAGGCAGCTGTCTCCCCATCCCCAGCACCCAGAGGCTGTGCTGGAAGTGTTCTGGCCTGGCACTGGGTGAGACTGGAATGGGCTGTGGCCCTGCCTGGCAGTGACCTCGATGCAGCTGCTGTGTGTTACAAAAGGCCACTCTGGGCATACCAGATGTACCTGCCTTCAAGGAAGGTGATGTCTGTTTTGGGGAGCTTGGAGGTTTTAGCATGATTTTTTTTCTCCTCCTTAAAAGAAACCACCTCCAAAACAACTCAGCCGGGAGATTGTGGGGAAAACCAGGGTCAGACACATCAGGCAGAAGGAATCACGTGCAGAAGTAGGTGAAGGTGTCAGATGTGGGAGGTTGGTGACTACCCCTTGCTCTCCTGAGCCCGCAGTAACTGAGAGAGGGGCTCCGAGTCAGACACAGGGAAAGTCAAGTCGGCTCTATTACCGAAATAGTAATGGGAGGGCAGAGCTTAGATGTAAAAAACAATTCTGAGCTTCCTAAATTCCGCACCCCAGAGTCAAGCTCATGCCCCAGGCTCACACAGAGGAGTATATTCTTGGGTATCTCATGTGGCTAAGAGCAGATGCCCTGCTCCTCCCCATTCTTGGAAGATTTGGGCAAAGAAGTCCAAGCATTGCTGAGCCCTGTGTGCCCGGGCCTTTTTCCCTGACTCATCTGTCAACGTGCAGCATGACCAGGGGCGTTCACCAGTGGGAGCTCTGCTCCCAGGAGCACCATGGGGTGCTGTGCCTGCAGGGGAATACCTGACAGGTATAACCACCCCCGCCCCAACACACACACACACACACACACACACACACACTAAAATGGAACAAAGTGGTACCAAACTAAGGTATGTCTGGGCCGGGGTGAATGTGCAGTGACCAGGGGACGAAGGCCTTCTCTGGTGTTCTGTGGTCTCGTACAGACTGCGAACTCCATTTTGCAAGTGCAGATTGGAATTCAGAGAGGTATTTCTTGCACAGGTATTTGAGAGCAGATTTGGAGGGGGTGTTGGGCTAAAAGACGGGATGACCAGTTGGGAGATGGATATAAGGCCCCAGGAAAGCAACAAGAAGGCCCGACTTCCACGGTGACAGTTGAGACTGTGGGCCACGTGGAAGGACGGGGAGGAGGCGCAGCTATCAGGAATCACTTGAATGTGTTAGGAGCAGGGAGGCTCCTGGGGCTCAGGTTCCAGGTTAGGGTAGCTGAGCTCCTTCAGTTCCTCGAGCATCTGCACTGTCGTTTGGGCAGGTTTGATCTGTGGAATCGTCTGTGTGCGAGTCTCATTCTTGGTAGAGCTGTGAGACCAAGCTTTGGTTTTGTTTTGTGTTTGGTGTGTGACAGGTACCCCAGAGGAAAGAGGAATCAAGAAATGGAAGAAAGGTGTAGGCAAAGGGAACAAGTCCCTCGACGGCATGGAATCCTACAACTTGCCATTTGGCATGAACATTATTAAGAAATACAGATGCTTCAGCTACTTACCCATCAGCCCGACCTTTGTGGGCTACACTTGGAAAGGCCCCAGGAAGAGCGACACCAGCCGGAGTTCTGACGAAGACTCGCAGGCCACGGTATAGCCCTTGCCGCGCCTGTGGCCCGCGTCTGTAGTTCCTTGCTGAGTACCACGAAGTGAAATCTATGTCTGTGTATCTACATTTACATTCTGCACCCCAGAGCTAAGACAGATTGCAGATAGCTTTTCTATCGTGGGTGGTGATCGTGTCTAATATGGTGTCTCACCCGTCTCCTTATTTAAGCCCTTGCCCCCTTGCCCTTTGACAGTGTCCATTGCTGGCCGTGGTCACTGAACTTGAAGTTCCAGTCCTTGCTGGAGTGGATGTTTGAACCCCGCAGCTGTTCCTTGTTTTCAGTCCTCCTCCACGCCCAGTGCTAGCTTTCCTATAAGTCACCTCCAGGGTCCAGGGGCTTCAGAAGCCCCTGGTCCTGCTTCCCTTTCATTTGACATCAGCCTGTGCCTGCAGAGAGTGTCTCGAGCCCCAGGGCACCAGTGTCCTCACATGGTCACAGCTGGCTGGTCATGTGTGCTTCTGCCGCCCTGATCCTCCTGAAGGGGGAGGCCCTTGCTTTGAACACAGTGGCATGGCTACCCTAGGCCCAGATCTGGGTGTGGGTGTGGTCCATGAGGATATCACTGAATGGAAATGGGTTTGGGGGCTAGAGGGAACGTGGAATGACCCTGAAGCCAGTATCTGATTCAGCTGCTCTGACACCCTGCCACCTTGGCCCCAGCTGGGCCAACACATTTCCCAGCAGTCTCTTTTAGTCACCGAGACACTGTCTGGCATTGTCACTACTGGCTGGTGTGACAGGCATGGATTGCCACACACAGGCACCAACCAGATATGTTCACGGGAGTCTTGGCTCTGCTGTCACGTGGGTGTGTATCGTCGCGCGTGTCTACAATGACAAGGTTTGATTCCTATTTAATGTTATTGACTATAGCAGATTTTTGAAATCAGTGTTTTTCCATGTGACCCGCTTCCCCCAGTATTCCTATTACTCGTCCCTCCTCCCCCACCCCCATTAAGAAAAGAACCAGCATTTGTAAAGCTGTGGACACCATCAGGGAAGCTTGTTGTAATGGCTTTTGAAGGCCAGTAACCATTGTTGTGGTTGTGTTTTGTATTGCTTGATACCTTGAAAGTGTAAATACTGTAATGCCTAATCTATTTATCAAAACTGACTACTGGACCAGAGCCCAGAAACCATGGGTCAAGTTATACGTGAATTTGTTCAGTGAATAGGGAAGCTGGGGCATGTCACCCACAGAGCCGACCCGTTGAATGGCCGCTCATAACTCTGGTTCTGCTGTGAGTCAGTTCTGGCAGTTGTGGCTCAAGGAGACTTTCTGTGCTTGCCCTGTTCAACACCCACTAGGTCTTGGTTTTGTGGAGGGAAAGGTTAGACCTTGGCCAAATCCTGCCTTTCTTCTTTAAGTTGTTGCATACGGTGGTGAGAAAAGTAGCCAGCAGAATCTCTTTTAAGAGAGTTCTGGTGAATAACACTAAATTGTTTCTGAAAAAATGACTTCTGTCAAATGTGGTTTGGAGTTTTCCAGCCAGAATGAAAGTCTGAGACAGGCACAAGGGGGTGTGCCTGGTGAGGGTGTGCTTCAGTGGTCATTGACCTGGTTGGGATTTGGGTGGTGGTGGGCATTGCTGTCTCTGACAGCAGGGCCTGGTTCTCGGCAGCCTCGTTGTCCACACGGTGCACTCTCCCCCACTCCTGGCCTGGCTCGTATTCACCACGTGGTGACACTTGGCAGCCCCTGGACCCCTGGAAGTTGGGCTTCGAGGTTTACTCTGGCAAGAGCACCTCAGAGCCATGGCACTGTTTTTGCCAAAATCTTACTGCAGATTAAGTAAAGAACTTAGATTCTAAGTTACATTTAATTTCCTACGTTCTTTTTAATGTGTATTCAATGCGTAGCTCCTTTAGAAGCATGCCGGTTAATGATTTGCATCCCTCTCCACTTAGTAAAGCCCTCAGGGCTGTCAGCCTTCTTCTCTGTGTTGGTCTCAGGCCCTTCTGTTTGTATTTTGCTCAGCATCTCCGATTTCTATGCTCTGAAAATGGGAAAAACTCTAAACCTCTCAGAGATTCTATTCTAACAGTATTCTAGCTTCTCCAGGTGAGCAGAAGGACCAAATATCCAAACAAAAGCCTCGGAGTCAGCAGTGATTCAGCTTGACCTGACAGGGCCTCTTCCCTCCCACTGAGGTGTGTGCCTTAGACATTCAGAACCCACTCCCTCGGGAACCCCTCCTCGGGCCAGATTTTATAGGGAGTCCTCCGTACGCATTCTCATGGGTAGGGAAGCCCTTGCCCACACCTGCTGTTGGGAAGAGGGTTTCCTCTCTCGTTCTGTTGTGGCCAAATTTTGTTGTTCTGTCTGATGAGGGGAAAGGGGACAGGAGGTGGGAGGAAAGAGCGGAGCGTGACTAGATGTCCCCATTGAGTCGTACTTTCTACACAGCCTTGAGTGATTGGAGTCCCTGGATCACTAGTAAATCTTGCACAAGCAATACACACATCATTTTAGGAAGTGGCCTCCCGCTAGCAAAGATGCTACAGAAAAAAAAAAAAAAGGCTATGATTGAAAGAAAAAGAACGTGTTTATCTATCTGCCTTTTGGGCTCAGCCGCACACCTGCAGGGGGAGTCTCGGGGGACGTGGGGGCCGCGCAGGGTCTGTGCGTGTAACACTTCCCATTCACGTTGCTGGCCTGTGCTGCTGGGACCGCGTACCCCATGCTTTGTTTTGCCAATAGAGTGTCATAAAGTATTTGGGATGTGCATGTCCGTGCAGGGCATTCAGCCCCTCATTTCCATAACTAACCACCTTCACAGGTCACCTGCCTGGCCCCCGTCCGAAAGCACTGGCGTTGGCAATCTTGACATGGAAAGTAGGACGCGTGAATAGAGAGAAATTGCCGCCTGTTTCAGGGGCGAGCAGAGGAAACCTCACCCCTGCTTTGCAGAATAATGGGGGGTGGCTTCGTTCTTTGTAAGTGATGATTTTCATCCTCATTAGGGAATTAAGCTTAGGTTCATGGATACATGTCCTTTCAGAGTCTTTCTTAAGAGGGTTTCAAATGTTAACTTTTGGTTAAGTTTCTTGGGATGGATCAAAGCGAGAGGAGTGGCTTAACCAGGCCAGTTAGAAGAAGCCGCATGGGTCCTGATGGTTTCCCGTTTTCATGGTAACAAATTCACACAGGATTTGCTTTATACTGTAGAATACTGACTTTCATGACGACAACTTGGTTTATGCATGAATATTGCAGTATTTCCTTATAGTAAAATGACATTTCTACCCAGGATAATAGTCACAGTTTTCCAGGGAGGGAATGATATAATTTTCATGACAATGTCATGTAATGATAGAATTTCTCCATTGATGAATCTCTAGTATGTGTGTATACTTTATTTACCCATGCGTATATTTTATGACCATGAGCTAAGTTGTTCTTTCTTTCATTCATGTCCCTGCTGAAACATTGGTACTAGTTACTTAGACTTCAAGTCGGCCAGTCTAACCTTCAGTCATTTTGTTGCCACAGAGGGGCCAGGCCAGACAGAAGGGGGATGGGGAACTGTGGAGGAAACCTCATCCCAGAACGCGTCTGGCCAGAGGAGAAGCGGCACCTGCAGGTGGCTCTGCTTGGGGTGTACGCTTGCTGTGGGCACCTGGCCCGGGGTGGCTGGACACCAGGTGTGCACGCCAGCCATGCCCACTGTGCCCTGGGCGAACACGTGGTTCCCAGGCACAAGCATTCACAGAGCCCACCTCTCTGGGGAACTGCTCCTTGGCTTCAGAGGAGAGGGTGGGGTTTCATGTGCTGCCTGTTGCAGCCTGTCTCCTTGCGATTTGCACACAGGGAATAGGACACTCCCGCCGTCCACCCCTCCTGCAGTCCGAACCCTAGCAGTGGAAGAAGGCTGCCTGTTTTTGCCAGCATCGATTCCACCCATGGACAGATAAAGCATGTGGGTGCTGGGACTCCCCTTCAGCAGCCTCACAAACATTCCCATCCTTCCAGGTCATTCTTGACTGTGCCTCGTCACCACCCCCCACCCCCCGGCATCTAGTGTCCTTAGAATTGCCGCGTGTGCTCCCAGGCCCCCTTAATCTGTGTGGCCATCTTACCGACAGTTCATACGCGTATCCTTTTCTGTTCGGCTCCAACGGCCTTAGTTTGACACATAAATAAAGTTCTGATTGTTCTTAAAACAGTGGGGATGCCTATGTTTTCCTTGAGTTTTTGTGACTGACTTAGCCTATATACCTTTCTGGGAGACTTTTGTTTGTTTGTTTTTTATTTTTATTTTGCATACCGAGGGTATTTGGGGTGGGGTTGATTTTTGAGATGTGTAATTCTTTTATGGAGTTTTTAAAAAGAATTTTCATATTGTTTTTCTAACATGGCTTCATTAAACGTTTAAGTATTTTAAAAATATGTAATATTTGGACCAGATGTTGTGAATAATAGTAGAGATAAAGCTATTTTATTCTGTATTTTTAAAATTGTTCCGTACAAATAAAAGCTCCCCTGGATGCGATTTGCTGTTCATATGCCTCCTATTTTGTCTGGTATCTTAGAAAATGGATTCGTGGGGGGCCAGCAGGTGGCATAGTGGTTAAAGGTGCTGGGTTCTCACATGCTCGACCACGGTTCGAGTCCTGGACCTGGTGGCTTGCTTTCTCATTTTCTCTCTCTTTGTCTCTCTCTGATCAAACTGGAAAATAATAATAATAATAAAGTTAAATAAAATAGTTGTTTAAAAAATAAAAAAAAGAAAATGAATTCTTAAGAAGTCATCCCTGTGGAGGAAAAAATCAGTAAATAAGAAGTTCAGCCCAGCAAGTTCAGCAGTTAACCTGGTCAGGTACCTGGAAGACTGAGCAGTGGAAACGAGGGATGTACAGTCAGTCATCCCGGAGAGCCAGTGACATGGGTGGGGGCCTCAGGAGGATGCAGAAGGGGGACATGAGGTCTCGGGTGTCATGCTGACATTGGGGATGCAATTCTGAGTCGATTATTACAGCAACATCTGGAGGCTGGAGACATATGGGGGCTGGTGGCCAGAAATGCTGTATGTTCACTTGGTGGGATCCGAGGGTTCGGAGTAGCCTTGGCCCCTTTCAGGCCAGCTAGGTATTCCTACAGCCAGGAAGTGGCAAGTTGTAGGCAACTGAAAGAGGCTGAGAGCTTCAATGGAGAGTGACAGGGCTTGTCTGCCACGTGGTGTCCTGGTGTGGTGTGAAGGTTGGTCCAGAGGTGCTCGGGTGTCAGGGGCACACCTAGCACCACCCCATTCCCATCTACATCCTGGGTCTTTTCTAGCAGTTTGAGACATGAGTCCATGCACTTCTGCTGTCACCTGTTCCCACTCCCCTGACGTGCGAACAGCTGCTGCAGAATCATCTTACCTTACGCTGTGTGCTTGCAGAAGGTGTTTTTAAGGGATTAGGAAATTTAAAAAAAGAATACTCAGGTTCCCACACCCAGCTTGGACCACAGCACGTGATCAAGACTATAGCTCCCCTCCCCTGGGGGACCCTCCTCTTGCATCCCCATCCCATCAAGGGGGACCCGCTAACATGAATTTTGGATTTAGCCTTTCCTTGCCTTTCTTTACAATTTTGTCCTATATCTGTACCCCTAAACAATTCACTACTTAGTTTTGTGTGCTTTTGCACATGATGTAAAACAAACGACCCAGGGTACGTATAGTCACGTCCTACTCCTCATCGTGGGATTGCGAACGTTGGAGCAGCTCTTCAGTGCAGTTATTCATTTTCACTGCTGGGTAGTGCTAGCTAAGATTAATGAGTCTAGACTGTTCGGAAAGCTTCCAGAGAGAGTGAGCAAACTAAAGCCTAAAGAGCTGAGATCCAAACAGATGACAGGTTTCCAGCGTCAGCCTTTGCGGAGCTGCATTTTTAAAGGACTGAAGAAAGGAACTTTGCACTTGGAATTTTATTTCTAGCCACTCGAAGGCCCACGTTTAAATACTTTCGGAAGAACTACTTATGAAGAGAAGCAAGCTGGGAAGTGCCATGGTAGGTAACTGAGGAAAAGGGGACCAAGAAAGGTCTTGGAAAGCCTGGTCATTAAAACGTAGCAACGGGGCCAGCAGGTGAAGCAGAGGGTAAGGTGGCTGGATCCCACATGGACCACTTTGTACCTTGAGTGTTGGATGTGGCAGTTTGAAAATCACTCCTGGCAGGGCTGGCAAGAGGTGTAGTAGTTAAAGGAACTGGACTTCCACGTAGCCAACCACAGTTCGAGTCTGGGACCTGGTGGCTTGCATTCTCTTTCGGTCCCTCTGGTGAATTAAAAATAATAGTAATAATAAATAAATAAGATTAAAATCTAAAAGGAAAGGAAAAAATCATGCTGAGCACATGTGTGTGCATGCTCAAAATCCCAGGATTGCAGGGGCTGGCAGGTGGCATGGTGGTTAAAGACCCTGGACTTCCACATGGCTGACTGAGGTTTGAGTCCCTGACCTGGCAGCTTGCTTTCTCTTTCTCTCCCTCTCTTTCTCCATTTCTGGTCAAATTAAAATAAATAAATAAATAAAGTTAAATAAAATAATTCTTAAAAATAAATCTGGGACCAGCAGATGGCGCAGTGGTTATGTCACTGGACTCCTACATGGGCCGACTATAGTTCAAGTCCCAGACCTGGTAGCTTGAAACTCATTCCAGGCACATATGCGTGTGTGCCCAAGCTCCTGGGAGGAGAATGAAGGAGAAGGGATTGCTGCGTGGCCATCCCCTCAGGGGAGTGATTTCTCTCACTTTCCTTCTCACTGTCTGTGTCTGTCTCTCTGGTGAGCACACATGCCCTAAGGCAAAAACCTCTCCCCTCCCCGCCCCTCCCCCAAAAAATTCAGTCTCAGGATTACAGTGTGGTCATGATTTCTCACTTTCTCTGTCTGGCAAGTGCACGTGTATACCCAAGAGCAAACAAAAAGATAGCAAAGACCAAAAGAAAAGTAACTTGAGGCCTTACCAACATGATGGCGGAAGAGAGTTAGAGCTGTGAAAGCTGGAAAAGGGCCAACGATGCCAACAACTATGTGAGCCAAACCTCCCAGTTAAAAGCTAGAGTATCAGTAAGTAGCGAAAGAAAATCCCGATACATGCTGTTCACGACACTGATGTTCCAAAGTGTGATCGAAGCTACAAGACACAGCTCTCGGGGCCAGATGGTGGTGCCGTGGTAAAGCGCTCACTCTGTCAGGCAAGCTCACTGGGAAGGTTCAAGTGCGGGGAGCTTCCTGATGTTAGGGTACAGGTGCCAACGATCCAGGGCTGGCAGAGGCTGGGGCCAGAATGGTATCGAGACCCTGTTTAGGGTGGGCTTGAGAAGTGCGCTACGGGAGCTACAAGGTTTCTGTCACAAGAAGATTACTGATTTCTCATTTAAGTGGAATTTGTCATTACGAAAAGGACATTGGGAACTAGCAGTTAGCGTAATGGCTATGTCGCTGGACTCCCGTGTAGTCAACTGCGGTTCGCGTCCCAGACCCGGTGGCTTAAAACTCACGCC